GTTCAGGGGTCCTGGGGGAGAGCGGAGAAGCGCTCAGATCTGCGGCAGCAGGTCCTCTGTGAGTCCTTGCAGAGTTCACAGAGCAAGAACATCGCTGCACAGTAAACAAATGCCAACTGCCCCCTGATGAGAGTGCCCGCCCAAGCACGTCCCCACTCGGGTCCCTGCCGGGGTCTGGGGCAGAGCCGAGGCCTAGGCCTGATGCCCTGGCTCTGCCTGATGCGTCGGCAGGACTTCCTCCCTAGCAGAGGCTGGGCTCGGGCCCTGTTACAAAGACGCACTAGGTTCCTAACCATGTGACGCACGATACACGCAGCACGTTCTCAACTGGCAATAACCAAAATGTAAAGGACCAAGACGTGTGCGGCGTTGCCGAGGGACTAGGAGAGCGACCTGGACGCGCAGTCCCTACAGCTGCTAGCGCGTATTTAACGGGCCTGGTTTTCTGGGTTTGGTTTTGTTTTTTAAAAGGAAGCATCTCACAGCTACATCAGCCTAAAAACCGCTGAGTCACACAGGTTGCATCACATGCAGTCTGAGCTGTTACTTAACAAAGGCAGAATGTGGTCTGCCCGTCCCGAACCCTCCTGAACCCTGAAATCTTCCTGTCGCGAAACAGCCAAAAACAGCGGGGGGGAGGGGGGGGGGGGACATTTTTAAAAACAATTTAAAAATCCATCACACTCGACATGTAAAATGGGCGTGTGTTACGTCGCACTCCTGGCTGGCAGCACGCCGGCTGGAATAAGCATTCGGGGGTGACGCGCTGGATGGGGTGAGAGCCGAGGCTGGAGACCCCGGGAGGCTGCCCGCGGGAAGTGCGTGGGCGCCACCCCGAGGCCCCTCACCTGCTTGTAGAAGCGCTGGTCCCCGGGGGCGCGGGTTTTGAGAAACTCCTCGCTGTTAAACACGCGGTGCTCGTAGTTCAGGTGGCTCTTCACCTCCCTGACACGACACGGGCGCGCGTCAGGAGAAGCGCGAGGGGGTCCGGACCCGGAACGCGCGGTTTGGGGTAAACTACCAGCACAGCTTTCCCTGCAGCCAGGGCGGCCTCAGGCCGCGCCCCCCACAGAAAGGACGATGCAAAATCAATCGTGGTTCACGCAAAAGAAACTGAGTCCAGCCCTGACCGGTGTGGCTCAGTGGATAGAGCATCAGCCTGCGCACTGGGGGGTCCCAGGTTTGATTCCGGTCAAGGACATGTACCTTGGTTGCGGGCACATCCCCAGTGGGAGATGTGTAAGAGGCGGCTGATCCATGTTTCTCTCTCAGCGATGTTTCTGACTCTGTCCCTCTTGCTTCCTCTCCGTAAAAAATCAATAAAATATATTTATTAAAAAGAAAAAAAGAAACTGAGTCCAGCCCGGCCACCGTGGCTCAGGTTGAGCATCGACCTGTGAACCAGGAGGTCAGGGTTCAATTTCCGGTCAGGGCACACGTCCAAGTTGCTGGCTCGGTCCCCAGTGTGGGGCGTGCGGGAGGCAGCCGATTGATGATACTCTCTCGTTCACCAACTCTCTTGTTGGAGGAATGGATGTTTTTCTCTCTCTTCCTCTCCCTTCCTCTCTGGAATCAATAAAGATGTATTTTAAGAAGAAAAAAAATTAAAGTATTAAAAAAACAAACTGAGTTCCAGGTGGTGAGCCCGTGGCAGGCTCTGCTCTGAACCCCTGGGGGAGGGTGCCCCGCGCCCCGCACCCCTGCCGGGAGGGGCGGTACCTGAAGATGCTGACGAGCAGCTGCAGGGTGAGCTGCTGGATCTGGCGGTTGAGCCTCTGCTGCCAGGCCCACCTGTGGGCTCTCCCCTCC